TATATATATATATATATATAGATATATATATATATATATAAAGTGTTCAAATACCTACATCTTCCTGTTGTATTTACTTTTGACAATTCTACAACATAATATTGAATTATTTTTCTTTTGGTGGACAACGTATCAACACTGAAAGTCAACGTACAATATGCTGCAAATTATCCAAATCAAGAATAATTGAGATTTTTGAAATGCTTTCAAATTGGAAGCAGAAAATTGGCTGCCTCCAACAAAAGTTTCACAAAGTAAGACAGCCCTAAAGGTTCAGTAAGTTAGGAAATATTTTAGACTGCCAAGCAAGTATCCTATTGTTAACAGTTAGAGAGGTTTAAAATAATGTTTCTTTGACAGTCTGTGCTAGTGCAGAGGAACAGCACTAGTAAAAGTTCTAACTCTACCCAAGTGAGTGGTAAACTACTACAGATATTTCTCCCACCAATGATTGTAAAAAAAAACAAAACACTACAAAATAGCTTGGTCTAACAGCTCACTAGAAGTAGAGAAGAATCATTTGTGAATTATTGGGAATATCCATTTTATTTTCTTAAAATAAAACAGTACTAATTCTACTATCTCAAGGACTGCCAAAAATATAGCCTAATGTGCAATCTAGGAAAAAAATATTTCTTATGTGGCTTTTATTGCTAATAGCGCCATAATTCTTAAACTGTCCGATAATGTCTAGTGTAATTAATTACACTTTAATTCAGCTGTTTCTGTATCTGCTGAGATACTGCTCTCGTCCATGAATAAAAAGATCTGTTATAACTAGCACAAATCTACACTAATCATCATTGTCACTTTATCAGAATAGCTATTAATATTAAAAAGAATGGCTGGTTTTTTAAAAGCTTTTTTTAATAGTACCTGGGTTTCCTTGAGTCATAGAATCATAAATGAGTTTGCAAGACTTCAGTAGAATGCTGATTTTCTTTTCTGGAGAATAAGCCTTGGTCATGGTTGTGAATTTATGGAATATTCTTTCCAGCAGAGCAGATTCAGGCACACTAGTGGTGACCCCCAATTCAGTTGTAGTTGTATTTTGTATGACTTGCTGGTTTTCCTTTAGGAGTTTGAAAGATCCGTCTTTGTTATGGATTTCCCGTAGATAAGTATCAATGGGCACTTTTAAAGGCTTCAAGACACATTTGTGCAAAGCTGATTCTATTATCACCTCTGAAAAGGGGGAAAATAAAACATGTCAAAGGAATATATGAGAAAGCAGCAACATAATAAGACTGGCATATTCAGACTTTGGAACCCGTAGAGATTTACATCAACACAGGTAATAATGACTCTGTTGTTTTATCTGCCTTGATCCTGACCTCAATTAACTTTCACAGTAAGATGTAATTTTTGGTTCTCTCTGCCATCATTATGGGCACCTGTGCTTATTTGTACAAATTCCATTAGCCAGTTTATAATCAGATTTGAGGGACTAGGCTTTGGTGAAGTCAGAGATAGGTCTTCTCTGACTAAAGGCTATTTGTAAATAAAATAAACACCACATTTCATCAGCGCTTGAACTAAGACAGAACTTTTGTCAAGCATCATGGAAATCAGGAGATCCAGGCAGTTCAAATAGGGAGAAAGATTTGTTACAAACTCTCTATAAAAATCTGAACTAACGGTTAAAGCAATTTGACTGTGAATAAGAAATTCACAGTGAGTTGAACTTTGATTTCTTATGGGTGCGAAGGAACTCATGACTGATGACGCATTTGACCCCTCCCTTGGGTTCAGCATGGTCATCTCCTACAGCTTTAGTGAACAGATGCAACATGTCTTTATGTATGTATGTGTGTATGTATGTATGTATGTATGTATGTTTCCTCATTTAAGAAAAATGTTTTTCTGCTGGGAATACTGAAATTCTGGACTTGATTAGTACAAGTTTCAAAATACTTTAAAATCATGTTGCTTAGATTATATTAAATTAAAAAATTAGGCTAGGTTTAACATTTAATAAATGCATAAAGAATCAGTTTCGCCTACAAGTTTACACATACTTTTTAATTCTTACCAGGGCTATTTTACAGAGATGGGGAAAAGGAAAGAATTTCCTCAAGCTATTCTCCAGGAAGGGCTCTAAACAAAGTGTTCAATGTTTGAGATAACCAGATAGATAATTCACTTAAGGAAGTATAGATAATCAATTAAAATAGAATATCAAAGAAATTGCTTTTTTAAAAAGTATTTTTAGTTTTTCCACATGTGCCTGGTTTCTGAGAATTGAATGACGTAGTCAAAACATAGCGAAGAAAACATAACATGGACATTTAAGGCGCTGAAAATTAAATTCACTTGTCTATTGGCTATGGGCTAGAAGATTTCTGTAATTTTGCCAAAAGTTCTTAGCATTCTTTAAGAGATGAAAAGGTATATTTGGAAAACTTTAAGTGAGATTTAGTCTGGATGTAACAAGGGAAGTAATCGCAGGGATAGCCTCAGCATTTTTTCCAAGCAGTTCCAAGTAATTTCCCAGGGAGTGGCATACTGTGAAGAACTGGAAGCTTTCTATAAAAAAATATGAGGCTCAGTTCCTGATCAGGAAGAAATAGCAACAGCATGACTGTGTAAATAGATGATTCCTTAGGAAGTGGATATGTGATGGAGCAATTCTTAAAGACTTTCGTTTCCTCATCAGACTCAGCGTTGTTTTGATATCTGCAATAGAAGTATTTTGCTCATGGAGTGCAATCCTAATGTTAAATGTCATAGTACATCATTTTATAGCTCTTATTCTACTGAAACTATTGCCTAAGGTTTCCAACAAATGAGCAAAGTCCCAAGTTTATTTTTGCAAAAGTTCAGCAAGTTGCAAGAGACACTGTCCTGTCTCAGCTCTAGTGTGTTAACAATCCAAATCAGTTTGTGAGATTACAGCCAAAGTACTTGATCTTCTTTGTAGCAACAGGGTAATCAATGACCTATACATACAAGATGCATCTTTTTTTAAAAGGCACTTTCATACAAATGCAGTGATGGCTTCCAAGACAAACTCCCTCGCTTCTCTCAGAACTAATCAGACCAATCTATAATTTAATTCACCAAACATTTCTGTGATACTAATTTATTAATTTACAAACTAACATTTCAGTGATACTAATTTACATGCAATCATAGCATTTATGGATTCCCAGGATTTAATCAGAGATAATTTCAATGGCTTTAGTAGTGTTAGTACCAAATTAATGGGCTTGGCAAAATAGGCATTCATGATGCTCTCAAAATGCTTTGGAATGCACTCCCACAATCCCATGCCCCCTGGGGTTGATGGAAATTGAAATATGTAATATTATTAATGTAACATGTGCATAAAATTATATATTTAAGCTAAATAACTCAATAATTATAATCTGTACAATAATAAAGAGTTGTACAGTGAAAGTGAGATAGTTAATGACCTTGGAAATTTCAATTTCATAGAACTGACATTTCTACCCATTTTAAAAGCAGTCTGAAATGAGAAAATTAGTAGAATAAGCTTTCTCCATGTATTTATATCAAAAAGAGTCTCATAGGCTAGATGCCTGGATACCAAAACGTATGATAATATTATAAAAGAAATGGACAGATTTACTTCCAAATGAGCTGATGTTTTGAAACATGTTTTTTTAAAATCTGTGGATAATTCTGTGTGTGAAATTTACCATTGAATAAGGGGCATTGACCAAACTTAACAAAAGACACTTTGCATCTTCTTTTTTGTCCTAATCCTGGAAATATCCAGTGGTGGGATTCAAATAATTTAATAACTGGTTTTCTGCCCTAATGATTTATTCCAATAACCAGTTCACCAAACTGCTCAGAAAGTTAACAACCGGTTCTCCCGAAGTGGTGCAAATTGGTTGAATCCCACCACTGGAAATAACTACACAAAACTAAACTGAGGATAAAAAAATTAAAAGAAATAATCAATTCTTCAGAAACCTACTTTCTCCTTACATCCTCTGCGCACCATGCTTGTCCTTTATTGCATTCATGCTGTTAATTTACAATATGTACCCTAGTTTATCCCCATGTGAAATAAAAAGTATAAAAAGGACTATGGGAAAAAGTGCAGTCGGAAAAAGGAATCAACTTTGATCGATACCTGTCTCTACATTATCTCCATGTTCATCCTGTTAAGTTGATGATTATTTTTGTTGAGTGCATAAAATTGAAAGTGCTTTAAAATTTAGGATAACTATCAGCTGTAGCTCTATGCTGAGATGCAGGGAATGGGGTTCAGAAATAAAAACATATTCTTTAACTCAGGGCAAGTGATTTTTTTTCTCCATCCAATTTTCTAAAATACCATTCTGAAAAGGGAAGGAACAACAGAAGCATATTCTTAATGCTCTTTTGGGAACAAGATTCCATCACAGACTGGGTTGGATCTGGAGAACCACTAGGTAATAATGACTATATTACCTATTAGCCTAGTCCATATGCAATGAAACTGTATGCCATTCTTGCTTATTGATCAAAACACTCACCTAGCTTCTCATCTGTGTGAACAGTTGGGTCCATTAAAGATTTCAGCTCGGTACTTTGAATTAAGTAACTTTTCAATTGTGTCATCATTAAGCGAATCTCTTGTAGCATTTCTGTGCTGGAGATCTGCTTTGCCATCATCTCCAGACTGTAGACTTTATAGTCCTGAACCAAGTTGCCAAAGTAAGAGTCGTTATCCTGGGCCAGTTCCACAATCTTCTTCTGGAGCTTTCGGTCAGAAGAGAGAAATGCTGTGAAGACATTGCTTAGGCTGACCATGGACAGGCGACGCTTGGCCTTGCCTAAAATCATAGAATGGGTCTTCTTCACTGTAGGGAATTGACCGGTCCTCAATTCAAACTCATCTTCAGTGCTACTTGTAGAATAAGAATCTGGCTCAGAGGCAGACATTTGAGCCCCTGCATTGCCTACAGGAGAATGCAATGAATCACTTGAATGTTCACAATCTGATATGCTGACAAGTTTAAGATGAGATTTTGATTCCTCTTTGGAAATGGAATGAGTTTTTTCTACTGTTTGTTTGTTTTCTTCTTGAGCTTCTGACTCTTCAATGTTCTTGTGCTCCAAAGAAAAAGTGCTGGTAGATGATGACTGTTTAAAGAACTTCTTCTTTCTTCGTGGTGGGATGGGAGGCTGCGATGGTTTTACCGATGATATGTTCTGCTGCTGTTCCGTAAGTGCCTTCTTGTCCTCTCCATCAAGCTTCATGTTTTGAGCATTTGAGGCAGATTTCTCTGTCACTTCCACCAATATATCTGGAGCTTTGTCACCCTGGTGATCGTTAGTCAGTGTTTCATTCTTCCTGTTCTGTTTTTCTACTTGTTTTTCTTCTGGCAGTAAACATTTCTGACTTTTATCAAAGGAAGAGTTCCCTGAAGTTTTCTCAGAGGACCATCGCCTTGGTGGAATGGATGGAGGAATCTTCTTTGAATTTGTAGATGGAAGGCTGTGAGGAAAAAGGATCTCTTGTCTGCTATCTTCCTTGTCTTTGCTAATTTCAGTTTTCATCTCCTTTTTGGTTTTCTCCAAATTATGGAATTGATCCTCTTTGGAAGGGGTCATAGAAGATGTTTTGGCTTGTTTCACAGCATGAAAGGACAATAGAGGTGGTGGTGGAGGAGGAGGAGAAAGAAGAGGAGGAGGAGAAAGAGAATGAGGAGGAAGAGAAGGAGGTGGAGGTGGAGGTGGAGGACGTCGAGTAGGAGATCTCTTTGGAGGTTTTGTCACAAGGTTTCTACCACCAGAAGGACTCTCCCTGAAGATATCTGAAGGAGAAACTTGTGGGGGAAATTGATAGCTGCTCTCCTCTATAAAAATAGGATTTACAAACCACAGCTTGTCACTTCCTATTGACAGCTCAGTTTCACATGAACAATTGTTCAGGCCGCTTGCAAAAGGCTGGCTGGGGTTCTTTCCTTTTTTGGCTTGAGCTATGATGTAAGCAGGATCTTTCACAGAATGGAGAAGGCTGCTTCCTTGTCTTTGATGTAAAGTGGAGTCCCAGAAACCTGTGAATAAATAAGCATAACCACAATAATAGTCAACCAAAAGCAATACCGTAATGTTTTAATGCTACTTGCGCTTTTTAATGTTGCTAAAAAATTAGAATTATTCTGCTCCAACTGTACATGAATGTATCACAGTGTTTCAAACTGATCCAATTAATGTAAATTAAGACAAATAGTGTAATAATATTATAGGAGGAAAGAAAGTAAATAGCCATGAATATATAAGGATAGAGAACATTTTTCCTAATGCAAATTTCCAGGATAGGATGAGACCCATTACTTCCAAAGCCATTTGTCACCTTAATTTTAGTGGGCATGTTGGTAGCTGTACCTTCAAAGCCATTTGGAACATTATTACTCAATTCTATTTCAAACGGTGCCGTTGGGCCAACTCATAGCATAAATTGCTTCCATTTTAATGGTAGAATGTTAATCTGCAAATGAATATGGAAATATTATGCAAGAAATATTATTTGAAAGTTTATGAGATAGGTCAAACATAGATTCACTTCTACCTGGAAGATCGTGTTCTATAAATGATTAATAAGTGGTTGGGTGTCCGTTTTTCAGGGAAGGTTTAAGAGACTTTTCTTTTCAACAACAAAGACCAGATTATTTGAATTCCCTTTCAACTATAGGATTGTTAAAAAAAAATTCCTTGGACCCCAGGAAATGCACTTCAGGCTACTTTTGGAATGCTTTTACCAGTGGTGGGTTGCTGCCGGTTCAGCCTGGATTGGCCAAACTAGTAGTAGCGGCGTTGGGAGGCTCCGTCCACCTGCCTGGATGCTTCTGCATACGAGCGCGTGTGCGAGTGCACTCAAATTGGTAGTAAAAAGATTAGCAATCCACCTCTGGCTTTTACCTATGTGTTTGAGAATATAATTAAGGAAATGCAACGCCCAAAGCATATTTGATACAGAATAAACTTCTAGCAACTTTTTATTCATCGGATACACAAATGGAATACAAATATGAAATTAACTCTTTCAACAATTTGTATATGGCAAAATCTGATGATGGCATTACAAAGGTGTATATCCAGGGGTGGTCTGCTATAGGTTCACCCAGGTTTGGGAGAACCCATAGGTAATATTCTGTCCAGTTCAGAGAACTTCCAAATTCCACCCTGGCTGGCCCTGAGCACCCCACCTCACCCCTCCCCTCCCTGGAGTCTCCACATGGCCAGTTTTGGATGTGAGGTAATTGCAGGGTCCATGTGGAGGCTCAGGGAGGGGGAAAAATAGGCCTCCTGGAAGTTCCGGAAGCCCAGAAACGGGTCTCTTTCCAGCCTCCTGAGGGCCTCCGGAGCCTGGGGGAGGCAGTTTCACCCTCCCAGCGACTCAAAGAAAGCCTCTGGAGCCTGGGGAAGGCAAAAACAGCCCCCCTGCCATGCTGCAGTTGGCCTAGATCATGCCCACCATGGCCACACCCACTCAGCAACTGGGCAGAGAACCCGTTGTTGAAATTTTTGAAGCCCACCCCGTGTATATCCTTGGGCTCTTGAAGACATCTCTGCTTGGATTTAGATGATTATACTTCCCTTTTAGCAATAGTTTAGCTGATTCTGGAGTGGAGGGTTTATTAACAGTTTAATAAATGTACACACAACTGGTTGAAAATTCATCATCTGAAAGGAGGATGGTCTATAAGAAGAGGCAAAGAAGATGAGTTAATGGGGCTAAGAATAACCATTACCACTGTATGAAACTAGGAAAGCTTTGTTGCATGGAGCCCTAGGTTTCCAAAATGTTTGCATGACTTCGCACCTGGAAGGGTTCTATGCTATCTCAAACAACATGCAACAAGCAAAAGAAATAACAAGTGTAAAGGTTTCTGCATGAAGAACTCGTGGAAGCAAGATTCATGGGTCTCCTGCATAGTAGTTTATTGTAGTGGTAGAACTATGATTCCATTGGGATATTTGCAGGGATTACCTAATTGATGCAGGGAGAAGTTTCCTGAGTGACCAGCTCTATCAGCCTCTTCAGCCTTGTCAGTAATCAGTAAGTTTTACAAGGATGCCCTAAAATGACGTGCAAAAAGGAAAAGGAAAGCCATTCCACCCCCGCTAAAAACCAAATCACTCTATTGTGGTGGGCAAAATAAATAGTTAAGTTAATAAACTACGTCAAGACCAAATTATGAAGAAAAACCACACCAAAGACAACTCTGTCCGTGTCAGCGTCTCAATATATGCAATACAATACACCCCGTTGTGATGTCTTTCATGTTTACAATAAGCAAGCTTACACAATGCATAGAGTGAAAAGGCTACGTTGATCACTTAAAAACAGTTTTAAGTCACAATGGATTAGCTGTGCAATGGTTAGCCATGTGGCCGCAGCATTGGAGCTAGTGGTGTCAGGAGGCCTGAAGGCACCTGCAAGCATGTCTTTTGGGGCAGTACTGGCAGATTGGTGGTGACAACATTTGATTTACCAATGATGGATTTACTGTTTCAGAATATGCCAGTGAGCCTTATGTTGTGCAAGCTTGCTTTACGTATGCCAATGCTACCACCCTAATCCTAACCTTTGAATATGGAGTTGGGATGAGGAGAGATTGCCATTTGCTATAACGGCTTGGTTTGGTCTGAAAACCCATATTACCACCTCTTTAGAAATCAAAAGTTGCTCCTAACAGAGATCATGTTGTGTAAGTTACATGTACTAATATGTTTTACATGTATGGACAATTGTATAGAATTGTGTTACATGTACAGAATAGCCTATTTCAACCCACAAGACTTTTACGATGTCTATAAAGCAAACTGGTGATGTATTCAAAGAAGTTGCCCGAGCTTTCTAACTGAATACGGCAAAACAGAATTCCCTGTATCCAAAATGCTTTCCGCATTAGAATGGTTTTTGTAATGCTACCCATGATAGATTTCATGCTTCAGTGTCTGTTTTATTTTATACCAGAATCTGAAAATCCACTAATACAATTTTACCACCAAATAGAGGTATAGAACAACCTATGCTCAATGCAGAGGGTTGTTTAGAGAACTGAAAGTGAGTTTACAATTCTTTAATGGAAAAATTCACTCTCCCAGTTTTCCTGGGTTCCTTCATTTAGAAAAAATACTAAAATAATAGTAATAAGTCACTTCACTAAACAACTGGGAGTTAGGAAAAAATATCATGCAGACAGCTGCTAAGATTCTGACCTAGATTGAGGTCTTCTCTGTCTTAGATGAGAGATCACACTCACAGATACACAGGCAATACTGAACATTTTCAGACGGCAAAGCCAGCACATTTGATGTTGTTTCAATTTCTACATTATAACCCAACATTACATCTATCTGTTAACTGGTATAATATCTGCCAATCTGAACTTGGACAGGAAATGGGTGGCAATATTTTGCAGTGGATACAGTTTAGAACATTGTGTACAGTTACAACCATAACTTATATAAAACTATGGGCCTAGGTATCACATATGGGCTATGTGGGTTTCTGTTCCTAAATGAAACTGAGATTACTTACTTTTACTTTGTAGAGGGAACATTATTTTGGGGAATATAACTGCCTTACCTTTACAGTCATCAGAAACAGATAAATGTCCCCAAAAATAGAAAGAACAGACCTGCTTGAGGAAAATTGCCTACTGCCTGCATACATGACAATGAATCTTGCAAAGGAGAAGAATTCCTAACTGAATAGGGCTCACTTCAGATCTTTTGCTCTAAATAACAGTGGTGAGAGCACAGTATTTTTTAAGTTCCTTTCCTAAGTTTAGTTAGAGTATTCAACAGAATCTAAATTGAATAAGAATAATTGCACCACGTCCTGTTGATAACTTATCTTCAACCACTTCATACTTTTCAGCAGGAACGAAACAAATTAGAGTTTTAGATAACATCTTTGGTGAAATTCAGAAATATTTGCTGCATGTTGGGTTCAAGAGCCTACACGACCTTGAGTTAAGAAATTGGACTATCACTGGGGAGATCTATGTTCAAACCCATTACAACCATGGTGTCATATAGACCAATTTTCACATAATCACTATTGCATAGACAAAACTACTTTTTGTAGGGAAAAAATGGGGGATGGAATTCTATATTCCACCTTGATCTGAGGAAAAGTGGAAAATAACTCTAAAATCTAAAAATCTAGTATTTGATGCTGTGAATGTTCTATCCATTCTTTTCAGAAATGTACTAAGCAAAACTTTGTTACATTTCATATTCTTCCAGGGCACATTTTTGATAATGTATTTTTATTTTTTGTGTTTGCTTTTTTTTTTATTTTAATAATATTTTAATGTTATTTTTGTGATCCTACAATCACAAATTCTGTTAAAATCTAGACCCAAACTGAAAACAAAAGCACTGTCAGTCTTATCCCAATGAGAGAGATAAAAAAAACAACAATTTAGCAATGACATTTTGATAGAAACCACATTCACTACAGAAGGAACTGGTAATACAAGTTTTCTGTAGGACGATGTATATATCAGTTTGGAAGACCAGTGCATAATGGGGAATTCCACCTCTTATGATTCCAGAGGAAGTGGAAATTGGCAATAAGTGAGTGTTTCAGATTATGAAATCTTTCCTTTTTAGGAAAGAAACTATGGCTATACTACCTATTGTTAACTCCTCTTTATGTTGGTTAGCTTTCCTAAAAAATACGAGGGACTACAGTCCAGTTATGTCCTTATTTAGTATGACTTTTTTAAAAGAAAGGTTTAGTAAGAATTATAGCTTAATGAGACAGCGCATGCTTTGAAACAGGAAGTTCAAGGTTTAGTCCTGAGTATTTCCAGGTTCCTTCCTAAATACTAGAAAGCAACTGCTGGTCAGTCTAAACAATATTAAGCTTACCTGGCTAATATATTTGGTGCAAGGCAAATTTACTCTGTAAATGAAAAAGTATTTACAAGGGCTAATAAACTACTGTGCATATTATTTTAATAATCTAAACCAGTGGCCCCCAACCTTTTGGGCGCCAGGGACCAGTTCCATGGAGGGCATTTTTTTCCATGGCCTAGGGGTGTGTGTGGGTTTTGTGCATTGCCTGGATCCCGTGCGTATGCAGACAGGGCTTTGCTTGCTTGCGCAGTGTAGTACCTGGCAGGCCATGGAGCGATGATGGTCTGTGGCCCAGGGATTCGGGGGGGGGGGGCTGATCTAAATCACTTTAGCATATTCTTTACTGTGAGAAAAATGATATGTATCAGAACATATTAATCTCATATTATAGATGAGTTGATGAATCCCAGGGAATCAGACACTTGCAGTGAAATTGCAGTTTAGGTAAAATCTGAACTCATTTATTCATACCTTTTTCTCAAATACACTACACTTATTTTATTTAAAGTAAATAGGAATAGACTTACAAACACAAAGATAAGTATATATACTCAGAAATGAATATAGCTTTCATATGAAAGCAATATTAAAACAGTGGGATTGAGTTGGGCATACTGAATTCCTTCTAGAATTCCTTCTGGTCCTATATTTTGAATTTTTGATAGAAATTTGCATGGTTTTTACCATTGTCCCTGGCCCCCTTAGGTAGGTGATGATGTCATTGAGTTCTGTATCTAACTGTGTGAAGAGAAGCAAATTGTCTGTACTCAGAGCTGAGTTGACCCCGGGACAATCTTAAAGTGTTGGCTGCTCCTCTACTTCAGAGGTAAAGAATGTGAGGCCATCCAGATGTATGTTAAACTACTATTCTCAGCATCTTTCACCACACGTCATGCTTGTTAGTGTTAACAGAAATTGTAGAATAGCAACAGCTGGAGAACCACATGTTTCTCCATCCCTTAGATAGAATTCTAATGTGGATTTAGTCAAGTCAGACATGTTTAAGTTTAAGGCTGTAGTTCTTCTTAGGCCCCACAAGTAATATGTATACTCAATTTTTTTTTAAAAAAATCCTTCCTACCCATTTCTTCCCTTCAATTACACAAGTTTAAATCTGTCAAAATGTAATTAGCCAATTGACATATCCTCTGTGTGAAGCTGTGTTTGAATACAACTTGGTAAGTGCCCCCAATTAGTGACAATGAAAAGTCAGCCTAGTCATATTATTTCCATGCTGGAGGCAAATGTCATTGGTTGCCTTATGTCTCTGAGCCCAATTCAATATATGAAAACACCAAATTAGACTTTCCTATCTATAATTTTGGGACAACAGCTTCTAGTACTTCTAGACAGCATGGCACGAGAACATTACAATACCATCAAATGTTCAAGGCATCTTGTTGAGGGATGGGTGCATTGAATAGTGTGGATCAGTATAATTCCAACTCATGCTATTCTTCCTGTACAAAAAGTATTCTGCTTCATCTGTTTTAATGATTTAAAAAACAGAAATGTCTAAAATTAGTTTTGTTCCTTCACATAAGGAGCATTTAAATCCAGCTTCTCCTAATGTACAGTATATAATTGTAAAAAGAAACCTGTTGTTTCTTTCTTTTTACATAACTAGCAATGTTGTAAGCATCAGCCAGAAAGATTTTTTTCCCCCAGATTCATGTCTTCCCATAAATGTGTGGGGGAAGTTGGTACAGATTTCTGATTACACAAAGATGAGTCCAATGCCTTTCGATTCTGCCATTTATCCACCAACATACAATAAAGAAAGTGAAGCAATAAAAATGACTAATGCCTACAACTTAGATTTTTTTTACATGAGCCATAAGCAAAGACACAAGCAGAATGTTGTGCTAATGCAGTGTTTCTCAGCTTTGGCTCTTTTAAGATGTATGGACTTCAACTTCCAGAATTCCTTAATTCCACCTAAAGAATTCTGGGAGATGAGTCCAACCATTTTAAAGTTGCCAAAAAGTTGCCAAGTTGAGAAACACCATGCTAAAAACTAAACCAACCCACAAGCTCAGAGAACAACACACCTTCACCAGAGGTGGGTTGCTCCTGGTTTGGCCTGGATCGGGCGAACCGATAGTAGCGGCGATGGAAGGCTCCGCCCACCTGCCTGGACACTTCTGCGCATGTGCAGAAGCATCGCAAGCGTGCATGGGAGCACGCCCAAACTGGTAGTAGAAAAATTGGCAATCCACCCTCAACAGTTTAAAATGTTCCTTAACCATTATCAGAAAACAAAAGAAAATAGAACTCAGGTTTGCAATCAAGTATACTAATGCCCCTGAGTATAATAGCAGAAATAAATGATTTTCACACACCCCCATCTCCTGTCCAATTACTGACAGTTGATTAAACATTCAAGGCTCCTGTTATGTCCTTTAATGGTTCTTTAAATCAGAGTTGAATTAGATAATGTGTCAAAGAACAGGATCCCTTCAATAGCAATAGAATTGCATAGCACTAGCACTTAGACATCCACTTAGGATGGAAGGCTGAGTCAACCTTGAGCCTGTCAAGGTTGAACTGTCCAACTGCTGGCAGCTGACAGTCAGCAGAAGTAGCCTGCAGTACTGCACTCTAACCACTGTGCCACCAAGGCTCTTCAAATGGAAGATAATCCTTAACAGCCTTTCACACATTTCTATAAAGCAATTCCACAATGGGGAGAAGGAACAGGTCACAGCAATCTGGAATGTATTTTTCTTGCAGAAATCTGTAGCATCATATAACAAAATCAAACCAAAATCAAAAATAAGAGGTGTGTATTCGTAGGTATATTGTATCAGTTTTCAACACAACTTACCTGTCCCCAAATCAGAGATGGTTTCTAATTCCGTGGCACTATTGGCTTCCAATATTGCTTGTGGCAATCTTAGTGTGTAGGGAAGCAGATCTCTAGAGAATAAAAAAGGAGAGAGGGGGAGAGAGAGAATATGAGAAAGCAATACAATGTTTGCTGTGTGTGTCAGTATATTTTCCGTATCTCTGAGTTGTTTTTTTTGTTCATTCAGTTTGATGCTGCCTGATTCCAAACATTTTGGGGTTGTTGAGTTGTGAGCAATAATACATTACTGTAATTTGCAAGGTGGTCTCTAGATATGATCCTTGACATAGAACCAGGCTTTAATTTGCTTGTGGTTTTTTTATTTAGAGATTTCTATGAATTATAACAATATATTATCAGCATTGATGATGTTACCTAGTTTGGGTAATGAAACATCTGCAAGACAACAAGCAAGCTCAGCGAGCACCAAGGCCTCCCTCATTTTAACCCTGAGCTACAAATATTCTCTGTTAGCTTAATATATGATCATTAGAGCAGAATTGAGACAAATGCTGTTAGTGTTAGTAAGGAAATGATGAAAAGAAGGTTGAAGCATTGAAAAAGAATAAGCTTCAGATATAGAAAATGTACCAAGAGAAATGTGAAAATGTGAGAGTCCTTTGCTGATGCAGTGGTTGTCTGACCTGTTTAACATGCACCAAGTTTGCATCAGAATGTAATGATTGGAAGAAAGCTATTTTTCAAAGGGAAAAGTGGCAAAATTGAATGGAAGAACTACATGGGGATTAGTTTCTTAAATGTGTTTATCAAGGCATTTTGCAGGTTTCTGAGTGAAAGGGTATAAAAGGCAGACAAGGAGACAATTGCCAAATTTTGAAAGTATATTGCAATTTTAATGGATGCGCAGACCAGATTTTGGCACTTTAGCGGTCATTTAGAAATGAATTTGGGAAAGAAAATGTGCTGTATTTCTGTTCATCCAGAGGATGCATATGATGCAGTGATCAGACTTGAATTTTGGGGAAAATGTTTTGCATGAACATGGTACTGTTGCTTGGTTGTTGAATTTGATAATGTCATGATGGAAATAAAACCTGCATGAAAATCATTGGAATGCTTAGGGAATTGTTTCTGTGAGTAACATGTAGGAGGGAGTCAAAAAAGAATGTGTTGAGTTGGCTTGTATGTTCAATGTATTTGTGGATAAATGTGCAAGAGGTGCTTACACATGATGATTTAAGAGGATGAGGGTGTTATATTCAGAAGTTGCCTTTTATAGTAACTTTTGTCAAAAGAAGTGAAAAAAGATGGAATGGGTATGATTCTGCTCATTTCCTTTTCTTATGAGGAAGTGAGAGTTCAATGTGTTGGGAGAAATATAAAAATTAGCTGAGTGCAATAGGAATAATGAAGTGTAGGTGGCTATAGGGATTGGATCACAAATGACTGAGCATTAAATCAAAGTGGGTGGAAAACAAAACTTAGAGACCAAAAAAAAAAGCACAGTGATTTGTATAACAAAATAACAGAGTTGAAAGGGTCCTTAGAGATTTTCTAGTCCAATCAAACAAATGGTTGTCCAATCTCTTCCTAAAACTTTCCAGTGATGGAGCATCCACAACTTCTGGAGGCAAGTCCTTCCATTGATTAATTGTTCTAGCCCGTGGTGGGATTCAAATAATTTAACAACCGGTTCTCTCCCCTAATGACCAGCTGGATAAGCATGGCTCAATGGTCATGTGACTGGCTGGGCGTGTCTAACTCAACATCACTCAGGTCGATGGGCGCTTTGCTTTAGCTGTTGCAATGTAATAAGGGTTAACCGGAGAGGCAGTTTATGTAAGCAGGGCAATAAAGATTAAGCTAGAAACAACACCAGAATGTTTCCTTCCTGCCTTCCTTGCAGGATTAGCTCTGTAAAGTGTAAAAAACAAAATGAGATTTCTTCCAACAACCGGTTCTTCTAACTGTTTAGAAAGTTAACAACCGGTTCTCCCGAATAGGTGTGAACTGGCTGAATCCCACCACTGGCTCTAACGGTCATACAGTTATTTGGTTACACAGAGACAATACATGAGGGACAAATTATAACCTGCACAAATGAAGGAAGAGTAAAAGGGTCAAAAGGAAGGGGACATATGATAAAAACCATGATAAAATGGGAAAGAAGAAAGAAGAAAAGAGGAAGAAAAGAGGAAAAGGCAGCAAATCAATTTGTAGGCAAATTTTGTCAGGACAAGAAGAATGTGAAGAGGTGTAGTGGATACTCTTGGAATAAAGGGATTTTACTTCTTTCTTTACTTTTGTCCTTCCTACTGCCCTTAACTTCTCTCTGCATTACTATTACTTATTTCTTTTCTATGCACCACATGGTATTGTTTATACCAAAAAAGGAACAGTGTGGCAGCTGTGTGTGTATGAACATAGAAATAAGACCATGGGTGATCCCGTAAAAACTTTTTTTTATTAATTACTTTTTTTGTTATAAACATAGCACTAAGAGGTGGCCAGCTATGGCATCTTTACAATCTGCAGACACAATTCCCAGAATTCCTGAGTTAAAATGTCTGACTCAGGAATTCAGGGAGTTGAAATCGTCAAGATGCCCTAATTGTTCACCCCTGTCTCGGAGTCTTTCTATAATGCTCTGTTGCAGCCCCAAGATGGCATAAAAATTCCAATCCCATTGCTGTCACCTCTCACCTCTCTTCTCAGTCACTACCAGTCTTTGATTCACTTTAAGGCAATGCATGGCAAAATTTGCACATTTGTGTATCCTGAAGCTGTCCTTAGACAGAATCAGAATAATAGGAAAACAACTTCAATGCAGGCATAATTAAGAACAACTTCTTTCTCATACCTTTCTCAGGCTGTCAATGAATTGAAGGCAACATAATGGAAACTGAGCAGAAAAACAGATGTTGCCAGGGTATATTCCTGCCATAATTAGTTACCACTTTGGAAGGGTCCTTATTCAAAATCCCCACTTGTGATAATTGCCATTTCCTTATTAGGGATTTATAACAGTTTATAGCATCATCCTACAACTGCTGGGCCAATCAAGCATGAAAAAGGTGTAATATAAACACAAGAATGGTTGGTGATACTGAAAGAGCATAAATCAGGAATGATGAAATAGTCATAATGTCTTCTAGAGTTATCCACCCACTATTATGCTGATATAATAGTAATGGGAACAGGCTCTGGATGGTTGAGGAATACTATAAAGGCATTAATGGGGAAGACTTCTGAAGTACATGCTCTTCATAAGACGTCATTGACTGCAGTTAATCACCAACCGGTTCTCATTCAATATAGCTAAAGAGTATATATTGACTGTTGCTATTTTAAAACAATAAATAAATTGATTAACTGACTAGTGCTATTATTGATCACCAATCTATATCCACAAGGAGGGTGGCTTATTCAGCAACCTGCTATTCATGCTAGAAAGTTATCTCACTTAAAATGTCACAAGATGCAGCCTTAGAGCTGTTAGCCACCATATGAATAGTACAACAGGCACATGTATAATATGCTTCTTGGGACATATCATATTCCCAAATTGTGTGGAATTCTGGACAGGATCTCGGTGTTCCAACCTATTAGTGCCTATATATACATGTCCTTTCAGGAGATTAGGGATACAAGTTAGATTTAGCTATTATAAAGGGCCAGGCAGCAAAATATTCTGAAACCACTGATGAAGATTCTTTGTTCTTATTCCCAGACTGAGGTCATTCTTTAAAAAAAAACAGCTTGGAACAGCAAGTTTCATTAATATATGCTAATAGAGCTTGGCTGAAGCTTCTCTATATTAAAGGAAGTCGTTTTTGTCACACAATTGGACAAGAGTTAAACAAACTGCTTGCCTTGGAAAATCCTAAAAAAGGGTAAGAGATGAACTCACCAATGCCATCCACCCACCCACTCGATTTTGCTGATACTTGTTTTACATTAGTCCAAATCCTCCACATTAAATTTTATTTAGCAAGTGATCCTATCCAAGGCAATCTCACTTACCACAAACTTTCACAGGACTATTTAGGATAATTGCACTACTTACATCCAGCAGTCACTTAATTATACTCATTGTTTTAAAAAAAATTATAAAAGATTTATAATTTAATTATTATAATTTTTATATAACCCTCCTACTAAGTGGATATATAAAATAAAATTGTTAGGTAACAACCATTTTGGGGTTCCCAAAATAAAAGAGATTCTTTCTGCTATGCAAAAATGGACAGTTTTTAGGACCAGGGTCAGCGACAGTCATATTCATGCTTAATCATGTTTAACGAAAAGAAGGATTAGGGGTGATATAACAGTAGTGTTCCAATATCTCAGGGGCTGCCACAAAGAAGAGAGAGTCAAGCTATTATCCAAAGCACCTGAAGGCAGTACAAGAAGCAATGGATGGAAACTAATCAAGGATAGAACCAACCTACAACTAAGGAGAAATTTCCTGACAGTGAGAACAATTAATCAGTGGAACAACTTGCCTCCAGAAGTTGTAAGTGCTCCAACACGGGAGGTTTTTAA